TTAGGTAAGGTCGGTGTTTTCTATGAATCTTTTTAAGGGTATCTATTATGTTTAGTATATCACCTATGCACGTAGTTAATAAGTCAATATTGACTTATTAAATTTGCGAGAACGGGTTGCAACAAAATGTATATATGCTGGTTAGCATTGTAAACGTGTGGCTACATCTGTGGTAGAGAAAAACAAATACCTGTCACAAAACTTTTTAATTGTATATCTAAATGCTAGGTGACGACCCATTCCACTCATCCACAACCCTAATCTCGAACGAGTACACCATATTCCTTCCTAAAACGAAATTTATCGTGCTTGTACCCATGTTTGCGGGTTGTGAGCTGTTCTGACTGGTCACCCCCCCCCCCTTGCTTATGTACCCAACCCACTTGAGAACCTCAATCATATCCACCCTTCTCATGCGGGTCTCCTGCGGCTCTCCTGCGGGTACAGATTAACGCAAAATTTGTCCTCGTGGAAATGGTGCCTTGAGACCACCTTCTCTCTATTTTACCTCGAGAGTCTATGCCCTCCAAACACACACCGAAACTACGACGTTGGTACAACGTTCGAACAAGTTTTAACACCACCTAACCAGTTATAACAACCAATATATCAAGTTGTAACAACGTTCCAATACGTCATAAACACATTAAGCCAAGATGTAACAACTTTATTACAAGTTGTTACAAGCAGAAAATAGAGACAGTTTCGGTTTGTTTCCAGGGTGTACACTCTGTAGTATGGTAACAGGGTAGTAGTGCAAGTGGGGCCTTACCAGTGCTGGATACCTTACCTACCTGACCGTTTTGATGGTTCCGAGGATCAACGTCCCGCTGGTCCAGTCTCTGACTAAGCTTTTTGGTTGGTGGTCTGGTCAACCAGGCTGTTATACACACAGCTGCTCGTTATCTGACATATGAGGCATAGACCGGATAATATTCGTGCTTCTGTTGCCGACACATCTTATCATAAACCCAAGTGCCCTTTTTGTTTTATTTCGCGTATTGGCGTCTCGGCCTCTGGTCGCTACTAAACATGACTCCAAAGTCTCTTTCCCTGTAGCAAACAAGTCGACCAATGACCATAAATTTTTGTTATCCTCTATTTCAAAACTACAGCATGATTGTGATGTGGACTACAACATCACTGTCCTCCATACCTGCAGCATACCTGGAGTGGGTTTTGGGAGTTCTACTTCTACTATTTCTACTCCAATAGACTGTTGCTTGGAACGGGTCGCAGGCCCCATATACCATACCACATACCCACATGGTTTTCCGGCACTTCCTGCAGGAACGTGTCTAATCTTTTCTTGAAGAAGTCCGTTTTTGTTCTGGCAATATTTAAGGCATTTATATTCTTTACATTAAATTGCATTTGCCATATTTAAGCCCCTGACTGTTTTGGCTATGGAGTAGTAGCGGCTAGGATGTCTTTACCTTGTATGCTGTCAAGTTCATGTATGCTTATTGAAATAAAAAAGAAATACATCTCAAAGGGATAGAGTAGCTTAGGCTATTTCTACCCCCCCCCCCCTGTATGCTGTCACTCGCGTACAGGGAGCTGTTTCTCCTCTCACTCCTATTTCCCTCATTGTCTCTCCTTCTCTCCCAATACAATAAGAACGAATGCCAGTACGTCTTCATAATTAATGAAATATTACAAATAAATAGTTACCCGTTTGCTTTGAATCTGGGAAGGTGGTGGGTCGGCCTTCGGGAGGAGGTGGGAGGAGGGGGGGGGGCGGTATTGACGTTGCGTGTTTTATGGTAATACGGCCAAAGTATAATAGCAGAAAATTTATGTTAATTTTTCCGACATCAGTGAATAATGCTGTATCTCAACTATAAGAGTTTGTCTGCCCAAAGTTGGAGGGCGGACGATTGGGGTTAGCCTCACCCAACTGTGCAGGGGAATGTTCTGTGATACAGGCTGGCCGGGGTCGGCCAAGTTAAAGTTTTAAGAATATTACCATTTATAAAGACCATCCCCCCATGCGATTTCCACGGAGTCAATTATGAAATATTGGGTATGATGTTCCTATTGTTTTTAGTGATTGAAGTGTTTTTCAGTTGTTGAAGTGCTTCATAATAAATTTTCTGAGAGAATGGAGAGAGGGGGAGCATGGGGGGGGGGGAAGGGGTAGCGAATTTGGGAACAAAGGGGAGGTACCAAGGGCATTGGGAAGAGAGGGGAAGAGACCCGGATGCAGCTGGGTACCCCTATATATGTATAAATGGAAACGTCTATGTTCGAGGTTGGTGAGAAGGTGGTAGGGTTGGGAGAGGGGGAGAGTGGAGAAAAGGGGAAAATGGGGAAGTTTAGAGGGAAGAGGAGATGGGGGGAAGTGGAGAGGACAGGAATAGGGGAAGAGGGGAAAAAGGGGAAGGGATAGATGGGGGAAGTGGAGGAAAGTGGGGATGGAAAAAGAAGGGGAAAGGAATGGACTGGGGGGGGGGGGGAGGTAGGGGAGAGACAGACAATCGTGGGCACCGCCGGGTTCCCCTTTTAGTATTACTATAAGAAAAAATTACTGCTTTGATTGTTTCCAAAATATTTAGACAGCCATATCCGGCGACGAGTGGCACAAATGGTGGTGGGGGTCAGTATGGCACCGTGGCACGCGGCTCCCTCTTGAATTCTGGCGATCCCCCAACCAGCCTATGTCCGTCCCTACCCCCAGCCCATTACCCTGAAAAGTTGGGCGAGTCTAACCCTTAAGCGTCTAGCCTTCAAACATAGACAGACAATCAAATAGACATTCTCATAGACGGCGACACTGATCTTTCTCCACCTCCTTTGCTATCTCTTGGCACACTACATGTAACCTTTCATACAGACTCTACCCTATAGTTACCCTACCCTAGGGTAGGGTAACTATAGGGTAGAGTCATGAGGGATGAGGCAGGAGTGTGTGGGATGAGGCAGGAGCGTGTGGGATGAGGCAGGAGTGTGTGGGATGAGGCAGGAGCGTGTGGGATGAGGCAGGAGCATGTGGGATGAGGCAGGAGTGTGTGGGATGAGGCACGACCGTGTGGGATGAGGCAGGAGTGTGTGGGATGAGGCACGACCGTGTGGGATGAGGCAGGAGTGTGTGGGATGAGGCACGACCGTGTGGGATGAGGCAGGAGCGTGTGGGGTGAGGCAGGAGCGTGTGGGATGAGGCAGGAGCATGTGGGAGGAGGCAGGAGCGTGTGGGATGAGGCAGGAGCATGTGGGATGAGGCAGGAGCATGTGGGATGAGGCAGGAGTGTGTGGGATGAAGCAGGAGCGTGTGGGGTGAGGCAGGAGTGTGTGGGATGAAGCAGGAGCGTGTGGGATGAGGCAGGAGCATGTGGGATGAGGCAGGAGCGTGTGGGATGAGGCAGGAGTGTGTGGGATGAAGCAGGAGCGTGTGGTGAGGGTGAGGCAGAGACACTTGGAGCATGGAGTAAGAGATTAGGAGAGTATTGACAGTTAACACCAGCAATATCTGAGATGCCGCAACAATGGTCACTGTTATCAGCACAGAGGGCCGGGGGGGGGGGCTTCCTGAGGATATGGCGCACTTACACAGCTCTTTCAAATATTTAATCTTTTACAGTAATAAACGCTCCGTGTTAAGGTTACCTGATCTACATGCATCAGGTTCTTCATAAATATCTCATAATCACCTTTACGAAAATCTGGGCTTTACTGGTGTTCTCTCACACCTCGTCCTTAGCTGTCTGTGTTCACGTTCAAGTATGTTTATTGAGACAAGAAAGAAATACATCTCAAAGGGATAGAGTAGCTTAGGCTATTTCTACCCCCCCCCCCTTTGTGTTCACTTTTACCTAACTCACCCCTATTTTATATTATTAATTGTATCATATTTTCTAGAGATCACTTTCATCGCTTAGTTTAGTCCAAATTGTTTCCTGTGAGTGAGCTTCTCTTTTATTAAATACACTAGGCTTGAGGGTCACTCTGTCCTTCCAATGTCTTCCCCTAAATACTTATTAACAAGCTTTAAAATAATAAGATTTTATCCCAACATTTGTTCTCCACATGTTCAGTTCGGTCAAGGTGTCTACGGGTCTCCCGCTGCCATCACACACAAGGCCACAATCTCCCCAATAGTTTAAACCCTGACAAAAGGTAACTCTACTATACTATTTGACACAGAAGTTGTCTGTAAATTGTATTACAGTGACCGCCTGCACTATCTGTCTAGCCGCCAGTTGATACCAAATATGGTGGACAGCCAGTCACTGCCAGCGTCGTGGACAGCCAGTCACTGCCAGCGTCGTGGACAGCCAGTCACTGCCAGCATCGTGGACAGCCAGTCACTGCCAGCATCGTGGACATCCAGTCACTGCCAGCATCGTGGACAGCCAGTCACTGCCAGCATCGTGGACAGCCAGTCACTGCCAGCGTCGTGGACATCCAGTCACTGCCAGCGTTTCTTCTGGGCAGAAGACCACACATGACTGGGATCTCTTGGTGCTACTTCTCTAGTGGTACCCTATACATGGCAAGCAATGCCTCATTCCAATGTTTTCCAGTGTCTTTGCCCCCTGCATTGAAGCAAATAACTGGAAGGTTCCCATTCCATTACTGCTCAAGAGGAAGCCCACTAACATCTGTTTTCTGTGCTTGTTACAATAACTTACACCTTATAAGTAACCACTCATCAACAATTATAATGTTCATGCATTTAGTGTCAATATTCCTGATCATACCTAGGTTTTTGATGATTTCATCCACACAGCATTCATCTTGGAGGAAGTGAAGAGCTTTTCCACTCAGTTTATACCTAATCACTAGTCGTCTTAAATGTCAAGCTTTCCTTGGTAGTTAAATTATTTTTTCACTCTCAAGACAGCATTTCGGAAGGTTCGCCGACCAAGGCAATGTCGTAGCCTCTCACACACCACTGACTGGAAACGTCTGCTCAGTGTCTCCTCCACAGAAGCTGAGAGCACATGAGCATCTCTTGAAAATAAAGGCACTTCAGTCACAAGAAACAATATCTGACTTACCTAACAGTGATGAAGCCCGGTCCTAGACGTCTTTTCAAGTATCATTGGACTGAAAACACTTTACTGGATCTAATCTTTATAACTAAATCCCATATATAATGTATAAATAAACTGCTAAAAATGTTCTCCAAGTGAGACCATTTATATTTTTATAATGAGAGAAGCGTCCAGGGGGACGCCGCCTGCACTACTGTCAGGTGGGCGCGTCACCAGCTCAGGAAAGCCCGCGGGGACCGGCGTTGCCCTCACATTATCTATGATAAACACCCCAGTAACACCATAATGCAACAGGTGGCACACGCTCCACCACCTTTATGGACCACACGAATTAAATCATTCTTGCACAACAGGATACTACTGTTAAGGAGTTTCAGCGAATAGCGGCGGAGGCGTAGGCGGTGGTGGTGCCGTGAAGGCGTAGGTGGAGGTGCCGTGGAGGCGTAGGTGGTGGTGCCGTGAAGGCGTAGGTGGTGGTGCCGTGGAGGCGTAGGTGGTGGTGGTGCCGTGAAGGCGTAGGTGGTGGTGGTGCCGTGAAGGCGCAGGCGGTGGTGGTGCCGTGAAGGCGCAGGCGGTGGTGGTGCCGTGAAGGCGCAGGCGGTGGTGGTGCCGTGAAGGCGCAGGCGGTGGTGGTGCCGTGAAGGCGCAGGCGGTGGTGGTGCCGTGAAGGCGCAGGCGGTGGTGGTGCCGTGAAGGCGCAGGCGGTGGTGGTGCCGTGAAGGCGCAGGCGGTGGTGGTGCCGTGAAGGCGCAGGCGGTGGTGGTGCCGTGAAGGCGCAGGCGGTGGTGGTGCCGTGAAGGCGGAGGCGGTGGTGGTGCCGTGAAGGCGCAGGTGGTGGTGCCGTGAAGGCGCAGGCGGTGGTGGTGCCGTGAAGGCGCAGGCGGTGGTGGTGCCGTGAAGGCGTAGGCGGTGGTGGTGCCGTGGAGGCGTAGGTGGTGGTGCCGTGAAGGCGTAGGCGGTGGTGGTGCCGTGAAGGCGCAGGCGGTGGTGGTGCCGTGAAGGCGCAGGCGGTGGTGGTGCCGTGAAGGCGCAGGCGGTGGTGGTGCCGTGAAGGCGCAGGCGGTGGTGGTGCCGTGAAGGCGCAGGCGGTGGTGGTGCCGTGAAGGCGCAGGCGGTGGTGGTGCCGTGAAGGCGCAGGCGGTGGTGGTGCCGTGAAGGCGCAGGCGGTGGTGGTGCCGTGAAGGCGCAGGCGGTGGTGGTGCCGTGAAGGCGCAGGCGGTGGTGGTGCCGTGAAGGCGCAGGCGGTGGTGGTGCCGTGAAGGCGCAGGCGGTGGTGGTGCCGTGAAGGCGAAGGCGGTGGTGGTGCCGTGAAGGCGCAGGCGGTGGTGGTGCCGTGAAGGCGCAGGCAGTGGTGGTGCCGTGAAGGTGCAGGCGGTGGTGGTGCCGTGGAGGCGCAGGCGGTGGTGGTGCCGTGAAGGCGTAGGCGGTGGTGGTGCCGTGAAGGCGCAGGCGGTGGTGGTGCCGTGAAGGCGCAGGCGGTGGTGGTGCCGTGAAGGCGTAGGCGGTGGTGGTGCCGTGAAGGCGCAGGCGGTGGTGGTGCCGTGAAGGCGTAGGCGGTGGTGGTGCCGTGGAGGCGTAGGTGGTGGTGCCGTGAAGGCGTAGGTGGTGGTGGTGCCGTGAAGGCGCAGGCGGTGGTGGTGCCGTGAAGGCGCAGGCGGTGGTGGTGCCGTGAAGGCGTAGGCGGTGGTGGTGCCGTGAAGGCGCAGGCGGTGGTGGTGCCGTGGAGGCGCAGGCGGTGGTGGTGCCGTGGAGGCGGGTGATGGATATATATAAATATAAATATATAAATACAAATATATATATATATATATATATATATATATATATATATATATATATATATATATATATATATATATAAATATATATATATATATAAATATATATATATAAAATATATATATATATATATATATATATATATATATATATATATATATATATATATATAAAAACTTTAGAACACTTTCCCACTCTTTGGTGGGAAAGTGTTTTAAAGTTGTAAAACTTCACTTGCGTGTTTAGGCAAGTTGTGCATTATTAAATATATATATTATGTATTATATATATTATGTATTATGTATTATGTATATGATGTAGCGGGGATACAGGACCCCCACTACACGGAATGCGACACGAAATGGGGTGCCATGGCAGACCCAGCACTCAGACCAACCATGCCGAAAGCCAAGAAACAATCCAGCTGGGACAGCCCCATTGTAGACAAAGAAGCCACAGCTTTGCTGGAGGCAGCAACAACCCCCAGTGATCGTGCACGCCTCACAGCTGTGCAGGCTCCCCATGCAGGGGACTTCCTTTTGGCAGTCCCAATGTCTGCGACAGGCACACGTCTTGATCCGCAGGAGCTCAGTATTGCAGTCGCTCTCCGTCTTGCTGCCCCTATCCACACTGTTCATAGGTGTATTTGCGGCGAGGCAGATGCTGACGAATATGGATTGCATGGCCTGCACTGTGGAAAATCTGGTGGTTGGCACACTAGACACGACGAAGTCAATGACATCATTAAAAGAAGCCTTGCCTCTGCTCAGTGTCCAGCGGAGAGAGAGCCCCGCAACCTACTGAACCGTGACTCTGTTAGCTTTGCCGGCCGACCAGACACTGCGACCGTGGAAGGGTGGCAGACAGTTGGCATGGGACTATACTTGTGTATCCACCCTGGCAACCACATACATCAACCTCTCTGCCGGCACAGTAGGAGCCGCGGCGACACGCAGAGAAAGAGACAAGTCAGCCAAGTACAGGCAATTAGATCATCGGTACAACTTCGTTCCAATAGGGTCTGAGACCCTAGGCCCATGGTTAGAGAGTGCAAGAAGGTTTCTTAAAGATCTTGGTTCCAAGCTCATTGACACCACAAGAGACCCTAGAGCAGCAAGTTTTCTCTTTCAGCGCCTCAGTGTCGCGATCCAGAGGGGGAATGCCCGCTGCATCCTCGGTTCATGCCCGGCGTCGGAGGAGTTCGAGGAAATCTACAGCCTCTAGGAAGTGAACTTTTTTGTGTGTCCTCTTAATGTTAATTTTTTGTATAAAATCAGATATGTAACTGTATAACCTTGCATAATAAAGTGTACACCATTATAAAAAAAGGGGGGTGGTAGGAGAAGCGAACACTCTTACGGATTCAGAGTTAAATGACAAGTTTTTCCCTGAATGCTCTGTGTTCCCTTCTCTGAGGCTGTGGGTCCCTATAATTGCACCAGTGGTGGTACCCCCCTATATATATATATATATATATATATATATATATATATATATATATATATATATATATATATATATATATGAATATATATATATGAACAAGCCTGAATGGTACCGAGGCATATATGCAACTGAAAACTCAACACCCCAGAAGTGACTCGAACCCATATTGCCAGGAGCACTATGCAACTGGTGTACAACAGACCTTAACCACTCAACCATCATGACCGTACAAAAGAGGATGTTAGCCAAGGCTATTTGCCCATCATCCACACAGCACTTTGATGGTAATCTTGGGCATAGTTATTTTATCAAATCACCTCATTTTGTGGAGCCTCGTGAGCAACACAAATGCAAACAAGCTTGAATGTTCCGAATATATGCAACAGAAAACTCCACACCCCAGATGTGACTCGACCCTTGGTTACCATCATCTTTTGTACGGTCGTGATGGTCGAGTGATTAAAGTCTCCTGTACACCAGTTGCATAGTGCTCCTGGCAGTATGGGTTCGGGTCACTTTTGGAGTGTGGAGTTTTCAGTTTTATAATATATATATATATATATATATATATATATATATATATATATATATATATATATATATATATATATATATATATATATATATATATATATATGACATTAAACACAACAGCATTGTGACCATTGTTCATTTTACACTCTGCTTTGAGGAACGGGCAGGACTTGAGAAAGTCTTTGAAGCTGTGAGAGGATCGTCTGTTTTATGTTAATATGGCCAAAGTAGGAATAGCAAAAAATTTATGTTAATTTTTAAATAGTTAACAAATAATGATGTATATTACTTAAATATTTTTTTATTCATTAGTATTTTCTTCAAAATATTTAGCTAGGTGTAGACAGGTGGGAGGGTGGGTTTGTTTCCAAAAATCGGCACGGGGGTCGGAATGTGACCATGGCACGCTGTTTTCTCTTGAATTCTGGTGACTCCGACTAGCATATGTCCGTCACGTAGCCCAGCCCATTCCCCTGCCAAGTTCGGGGAAGCTCCAAGAGTCTGGCCTCCTACCTTGGACACACAGAGAGAGGTTCTTATATGGATTAGCTCTAGGTTCTGAACTCTGAACTCCCAACTTGTGAATAAAACTGAATAAATTAAGAAGGGAAGTGATTGTAGGAAAAACAATTTGAAGATCTTCCGTTGAAGTTTTTTTTTTTAAGGCAAAGCAGGAGTTAGGATATCCGGTGAGGCGGCCAAGAACATTTGTGCCCACTATCTAGGGCTTTGTTTTAGTGTTATAGTTATAGGTGAAGTGAACTGTGGCCCGTTTTTTATGATTTATGTGAAAAATTTGAATTGGTTTCTCCTGCCTGTTCCCCACTCTGGTCACTCCACACTACACTACTCACTAATCTATCACTCTCTAAATCCCAGTATCTGTGCACGGGGTTCAATCTCTGCAAATTACCTCAAGCACATCGTCACCCAGGAAAAATCAGGTATCAGAGCTATAATAATTTCTGTCCCCGAAATCCCTGAACATGCTAAACCTACACTCACTCCACACGTTCTCTTGTGCTATTTACACCTGCGATGCCTTATTCCTAAATTCAAATCCGGTTTTGAAACTCTTCCCTTACGAATGTAATAGCACTCGCAGCATCATACTAGAAATAAATATATCTTTTATATTCCTTTTTAATATAGACCCGACTTATCGAGGAAAGAGTCTTCAGTAGTGGGCACAAACCAAGCGTATACTACCGTTATGTCGATGACATATTCGTAGTAGTAGAAGACCTCGAACTAATTGGTCTAAAAGAAGCCATCTAGAGAGAGTGAGTCAGGACTCCGATTCACCCGTGAAACCAGTGAAAATAATAGTCTGCGTTTCCTGGATGTATTAATGACAAAAACAGGAGCATCTCTAAGCACCAGCGTATATACTAAGCCTACAAATCATAGGTTATGCCTAAACGATAGGAGTGAGTAACTCCTACTGTTACATACAAAGATATAAAGCCAGTGTTCTCAACGCTTATATTCGTCGAGGCCTTACCCACTGCTCGGAATGGAACACCGTGAGT